TTGTCTAATTTTGTAGATATCCACGGTAGAGATGTCTGCTTTCTCTTTTTTCCAACCATATTTCTGGTAGAAAACATTCGCAACACAAGTGTATTTTCTTTGAGTACCACAAACCAATTGCAATACAGCCTTAATATATTGGAGCGAAGACAGACAACTTTACAGCCAACCAAGCCAGATGGAGGGACTTAGGCTTTAAACAGTCAGGTACGGGTCTAATGACAATATAGGATATGTGTGATCCCGCAGTTTTGCAGCTTGACCCATGCTAAGCCTTAAAATTGGGGTATAACAGCATCTGTTTTCTTGCTATTGACTATTTCTCTCCAAATGTCCCCCGCAAATCTCCCTTTAAATTGAATCCGACTGCAGGTCAAACTAAGTTCAATTCAGTCAGCACACATGTGGATCACCCCAGGTAATAAGGGCTCCAAGATTACCGAGGCTTTGGCCCACAAACAGCTCGAAGGGCAAGCATCACCTATGAAACAGTGTGTATGGCAAACATCACGTATAATCCCGTCAAATCAAATTAAAGTGTGCACTTTACAAGCGGCCCCTCTGGACAACTGTTGCCAAATCTGCCTTCCGTCTGTTGTAACATATCTGGAACATGTTCAGCTCACGGCTCTCATGCAGGCAAACATCATATTACACACACGGTATTTGTATTGCTGATTCTCTTGGCTGTGCCAACAGTTTCCCGTTTGGCTTGTAAAACCCCCAAAAATGATGAGAAACAGCATCTGCAAAAACAGGGATCAACAGCGCTCAGGGAGTCCACGAAAGCATATGAAACCACGCAGAGACATGAGGTCATTGGAAATGGCATCCAGCAAATGTGACTGTCGTTACTTGTGAGAACACATTTTGAGGTGATGTTACCGTAGTTTCCAGAGTGAAGAGTCTCGCTCCTATGACGGTGATGTGCCTCTTTCCCCATCCAAATATTGACTGGAAGCCTGAGCAGCTGCAACAGCCAGGCATTTTTCACACAGTGGATAATGGCGACAATATTTGGGTCGTGCTACCTTATCCATCAAGACACAAGTGCCGTTTTGTTTAAGCAACTCGCAGGAATCTTCATCTCTAAGCCGAATTTCAGTCACAGGTTTTAATTTATCTGCTGCGTGTCAGAAACGCGTCGCGCTCTCAAAATGTGTCCTTTGAATATGTAAACTGGAGCAGAGAGACGACCAGCGTAGCTTAGCATAAAGACAGTAGAAGCGGGTTCAGCCGCCCCGCCTCTGTCCCGGTCTTTTGCAAAGCAAATCATCTTCTGGCTCCAGCTTCGCATTCAACAGACAGATATCGGACGCCGCATCTGGCTTTACGATGGAAGGTCAATAAGAATAGGTGTATATATATATCTAAATGTGGCTTTATGACGGTGAGACAAACAGGCTGGGATCCGTCAGGCCCCGAGGCCCCTCAGACTCACAGGAGCGGAAGAGTTATGCTAACGCCGAAGGGCGTACGCTGTTGTTCTTCTGTTGTTCTGTTGCATGAAAAAACATCACACACTGGGGTAAACAGCGGGAAAATGAATACACATTTACATCTGTGATTCGTCAGGCAAAAGGCGGCGCAGTTTAATGCGCAAAGCCTTAAGGATGCGAGGCTGGAAATTCACACGGAAATCGCCGGCCAGGCGAATATTCTTAGCCTTGCCGATTGTCCCTAAGGAGGCTCGACAGCTCACAAGCACAGAGGCAGCGGCTGACAGACACAGCAGAGCAACCTATTGGAAGACAAGACGCTGATCAATAAGTCGGCTTTGAGGCGAATGATATTCTGCAGGGCGGTTAGATGAGTACCTGGAAAACATCCCCTGGGCGTTTGTTCCACTGCGGTTCCTCCGACAGCTGTTGACAGAGGAGGAGGAATGTTCTAGGTGGTAGAAGGTGTGGAGACACACACGCACATTCTGAAACACGCTTGTAGCGGTGGTGGAAACGGGCAGATACACAGCGCGACTATAGATGCAGTGGTTTGTTATGTTAGTGATAAGATGGTAAGTTATGAACTGTACAGATTGCATCAAAAAGAAATTCATGTTAAATATCACGATGAAATCTAACTGAAATAGAGACCTGTTCTGACCCAAAATCAGTCCAATATCAGAAGTACCTGATTATGCAGAACTCTGACTCTAAAGCGACAAAACATGAGAGGTTTGTGACGCCTGAACTCAGCAATTGAATCAGACTATGGTAAGAGCAAAGTGTGATGTCTATTATTTACAATGCTGGCAAGCCAAATCAGACCTATTCTTGCCTAGAAAATATCTTAAAAGCAGAGACAAAGGGACAGTGGAGGACTAGGCTGTCAAACGGTAACCAAATACCCACAATTATCTCCTCTTTAGTAAATCCTTTTTCTACTCTTTTCTATGTTATCGTCCCCCTTCCAGCACCCTCCGTCCTCTCCCATGTGTGAGCGCACATTTCATCCCTCACCCCGAGTGGTCGGAAGACTAGAAAAAGCGCTTCACAAGTTCAGTCCATTTACCATTTAAGAGAACAGACATGCTGCACAGACGATGACACTGGAAGCGTCGTGATGTGGTGAAATCACAGAGCCCACAAAGAGAAGCCGTTGCCCCGAATGGCTTTCTCTCTCTCTCACCCGCAATCAGCTCCTCTTGTGACTCCATATAAAAGCAGCCTCACGACTCCTCCTGACAGACGCCACTGACGTAGATAGTTAGTTCCCTCTCAGGGCTGCAGAGTCCTTCAGCCTCCCGGCTCCAAACAGAGCGGGCCAACGTAACGGAGCATTTGGCATCTAAGGAGACGGGTGTTTCCCTTCTGACTTTCAAAGAGTGACAATTGGACTCGGGGATGACAGGCTGCTATAGAAGGTGCTCTCCATATCTGCTTGAACCAGTGGGAAACATGTTATCAAAATGCTATTTTCATGGCACAACCCATAGTAAAAAAAAACTTTGACAACCTTCAAAATCAATAACGTTTTCATTGCAGACTTACATACTGTTTTCCGCTTTCCCAATATAGATGAGGCTGTAAATCAAATGACACCACTTTCAATGGGCCGTTTTCATTTCAAACACATGACAAGTGCAGATAAAGAGGTCACTGCACGGACTGAATATTTCCTACAAGACCACAACTGAAGATACTGGCAACGCGTCCTTAAACGCAGCTTTGACTTGCTCGCAGACGGCGATGTTACTGGACGTATCAGGGGTCATTTTTCTTCCAGCACAAGCCTCTAAATGACAACAAAGGATGTTGCCCATTACTCTGATTATCACTGCGCCGCTTTTGCTGCCTCTTCACTGAGCAAATTGTAGGAGAGCGTTTGGCAAATATGATCGAATGTGACATTAATGTTTCCAGCACCAAAAACCTTTGAAACATTGCGTTTTCCCGTGGTGGAAGGCCGGGAACTAATCCTGCTCCCTGACTCACCTCGTTTGTGTTGCACCTATCTGCAGCGACGAGGCGGCTCACGCACACTCGGAGCGATAATGACCTAGTTATCCCGCCTTCAAACCAGGGAAGGACCTGCGAGGGTGGCTCGGGGACAGACAGGATGGGGTGAGGAGGGGGGAGAGGAGTTGTTGGGAGTCATCGCGGGGGAGAGCGATCATCCAGGCCCTCGAGGGGCTGTCCTGCTGCCCGCTCAACCGGTTAGTTTCAGCACTCATATGCCATTGTGTATTTTTTTCTTTTTAAAAGGCTTACCTCAAATGACTCCCGTCATTTATAGCTTTATCTTACTGACGTCAGCTTTTTTTTTTACGTATTTAAAGTCATTTTCCATCACGGAGCCGAGGCTCATTTAATAAAAAAAGCTTTGTCGTTTGGTGCTGGCGTCATTATGTAGCACTGAAGTGCAGAAGGACGTACAATTACACATGTCAGTGCACTCATTTGGGTGGGATGGAGAGGAGGAGACATGTTAGAAACAGTGCTGAATGTTTTCCTACATTTAAAATAGAAATGTTTGTAATCTGAAATACATGGATGTGTTTGAAGAATGAGGGCTATGACACGCACTGCCTGTAAAATGCACTCATGCAATTTAGACGTTTTATGAGAAGGCCAAGGTCGCACACTTGCCTAAATGTATCAAGCATAGTTATAAAGAGTATTTAGTGAATGAACCTGGGGCAGTGTGGATGGTCGCTAATGGGTTTTATTTGGAGACTGCTATTCTCCCTGTTCACCTCCAACTACTTACGCTTTGTCTGGTTGCACTGAACAGGAGGGAAGCACCTTTTTCAAGCAGTCACAAATGCTCAATTAAGAGATCTGAACCAATGTGTCGTTCTCAAGCGGCCTACGAGCTTGGCTTCATGCTTTGGATGAAATGTAGTGCACGTCCTTCCCTACTGGTTTAGAAAATGGCAACATGAAAATAAATTCTGACAAAAACCCGTTCTGAGCAACAAGCTTGACAGAAAATCATAATCCTTCAGCTAGAGAATAGCATGGAAGTCAATGTTAAGTGCTGCACAATAAGTAATTTCAATGAGAAATTCAAGCAGATGAACTTGACCAGGAACGCAATGCTTTTCCATGAATGTAAAATGAATGAATCTTAGTGATCTGGTGGTAATGCACTGAACGAGCACTTCTCAGTGCAACAGCAGCTCCTGCTGGTGACGACAGCTCATTACAGTAAGGTCAAAGAATCATTAAAAGGTTATCAACCTGGGGCTGACAACGTAAATCTACGGTGTGTATGGGGAAACGTGTTGCCAGCAGGTTAATGAGGGGGGGGGGGGGATAAAAACAAAAAAATAAAAAGGAAATTTGTGGTTTAAAAAGTGGTTTAAATACACAAAAGTTATGGAAATAGTTTCAGTAAAACTTTGTTGTATATGCTTTTAGGCCATCTGCGACATGTCTTTTGGTTCAATGTCACGTAAGGCAAACCCACCGGCTACATGTAGACTAATGAAAAGTAGGTTAAAAAAAAAATTAAAACAAGTTGCAAATATTTTAAACAAGATAAAAACTTAAGTATGAGAAAGGCAACATTGATCATTTAATTTCATATAAATACATATAAAATATAATATAAACATCAATTCACATCATGTATTACAGTATCTTAACTATTGGTATAACAAAGGATCTGAAAAGGTTCACCTCCCACCCATTTGTATACAATGTTTAAATATTTAGTGTCAATGTGGATTTGTACAAGAAAAACAAAAACTGTTCACATCAAGGTCAATGCTTTGCCGTAAAGTCACTTTTCAGTTTAAGATATTAACTCACAAAACTAGAACTCGGTCCAAAAGGCACTTCTCTACACCAGCCACAGGTGTCAACAGAAGCAAAATACAAAGAAATGGTCAGTGTGGCTTGATAGCAAATCAGTGTAATGGTGCATATTGCATCCCTCTAGGTGTTATTTTGCAATAAAGACATAGTAAAACTAGCAAAACCCCGTTTTGGATCCTACGAGAACCCAACGGTCGGTCGGCCCTCTCTGGAATCTCTGTCACATCATCGCGTCATAGGAGAAGTTAATTCTGCTGTATAAAGAACTCTTTTCAATGAAAATCTGTACCGTCAGCAGCAGTTGTGACTCAACCATAGAGAAGTGGGTGTGCATGTTATAGGGAAAAACAAACAGGACATGTGTAGCGTGGACACTAATATATAAAAACTTCAGTGCATAACTTTAAAACAGCCGACTGTATTTACTAGAGGAAAAATAATAATCTTGCTTGTCATAGAAGCCAACTGATCTTTGCATTAGACACTTTTAATGTGTAGCTGATGTTCCCACAGTCTCACAATATAGTCAGTGAATAGTGGAGTTTGAAATATTTTAAAACCATACTGTAGTAGAAGGCAGGATATTTGGGTACCTCTAAAGCAGAACTTTACCTCCATTGTAAACAAAACAACAAAGATAAACTGCTTGAATGTAGCTTTGGTCCAATGAAAGGATTGTCGTTTGCAATTGCAGGTAGAAAACAAATCAGAAAATGCAGTCTAAACCAACAAGTTGAATCTCAGATACATTTTGCTTACATGAATGTGGGCAACCGCCGGCAAGCGGAGACCCGACTGTCACTCTTCTTTGTCATGACTGGCGTTTCCATTCATAAGCCCGTTACTGTGGTGTTCCCATTTCTGATTCTGCAGTACCTTTGGCAGCCTCTTCCCCTTGGTGTAGGCGTGGTACCAGAAGTTAAGAAAGAGAAACAAGAAAATCAGGCCGTACGCGGCGATGATGTAAACAAAGATGGGGAACTGGTAGTTGCAGTCCTTCATGAAGAAATACTGGGAGATGTGGCTGGTCACGATTACAAACTGGATCTGTGGAGCAACATAGAAGGATCGCTTGTTATGCCCTCAACACGAAATAAAACAAAGAAATTGCAGAGATAAAAACATGACATACCAGCTGAATAGTAGTCAGGTGCTTCTTCCACCAAAGGTACTTCTGATATTTGGGGCCCAACGCAGTCAGGCCGTAGTACGTGTACATGATAACATGGACAATACAGTTAAGCAGGGCGTGAAATGTTCCCATGCCGCCTGAAATAAATAAAAAGGGGTGAGTGCATCAGTGAGAAAGTCACAAAATGTAAAAATTAATGAAGCCCATAAACTGTAGCTTGATTATTAAAAGATTCCTACCTGCAGAAAAACGAACACCAAACCACCAGGTGAAGGGCATGACCGAGTGATGATAGACATGAAGAAATGTCACCTGGCTATTCCTCTTCCTCAGCACAAAGAATATCTGAAAGGGGACAAGAAGCTCCACATTTACCAAGTGATAAACACACAGCATCTAGTTCACCCCAATACACAAGAAAACAGCCACCCGACACGGATGTAGTCACTCACCGTATCCAACATCTCAATGAACTTCGAGAAGTAGTAAAGCCAGCATGTTGCTGCCATCTAGAGGAGACAAAATATATATTTTTAAACGAACTACAAAAACAAGCACCCAATGGAGAGAAAGGCTTTTTAAGTCAACACATCGTATTCTGTAAAAGAGCAGCTCACCCTCAAGCCCTGTGGAGAATCAGAGTAGTCCACTGGGTCGCAGTGGAACGTGTACCCGGTTCCCCATCCGGACACCACAAACTGAAGGAAAAAAAATATATATATATATATATAGTATTTTTTCAAACTCTTACTCAGTGTTGCCAATAGCTCATATTTGACAAACAGTGAAGCTACTTTGAGTCCAGGTAGTATTTCACCAAAGTGCGTGGTTAGGATTTTATTGAAATGCCAAACATTGACAAAGTTAAGGCTGTTAACACAGAAGCACGAGACAATGCACGAAAGAAAACACCTGCAGATCTGGTTTGCCTGCACAAGGACCAGACAAAGTGTCCCATGAACAAAAGTGTTGCACAAGACTCCCTTTACCCAACTGATGACTGATTAAATGGGTCACATTTCTCTTGCAAACAAGGAACCCATTAACGCAGGAAGGAGAGACTCTGCGATGAGGATTTCAGCACGTTGAGTCCACCAACCGCCGCAGAAGACAGCAGGACTCACCTCGTAGCACATGTAGAGCGAGAGCGCCACTACGCCGAAATTGTAGACAATGAGGACTCCCCTGAGGTCCAAGGCTTTGCGGTTCTCCATGAGGCGAGGCCCCAGCGAGTGGACGAAGTAAATGTACGCTGCGATGATGACGGTTTGGGGCAGAGGAGAGGACATGAGGAACCAGCTCGCTGTCCGCCTGTCTGCAACACAAGAAAGTGAGATTAGCAAGAGGACGTGTTCAAAAGACAAAAAAAAAAAAAAAAAGAAGAAATCTTTAATGCTTACCTGCATTTTGTAGGAACTCATTATAAATGAGTGTGGCTGAGGATTTTAGATAATCAAATTCCATTTTCAGAAAGGATGTCTGCAGAAGTAGCTGAAAAGAGCAGACACACAATGTTAAGGAGACAAGACCACCAGCATTTGGTCGAGGAAGCCGGGCACAAAAATAAAAGGTCAAGCTCAAAAAAAAAAAATGAGTTGTATGCTGAAATAGTCAGACACATTTCAAAATCCACCAAGGGAATTATTTTAAAAAAGTCCAAGGTGAAACTGCTCGCACACCATTCACCTGCCTACTGAAGTGAAACACCTCAGTGAAACAGACAGCGGTTTCCTCCATATTGCAACAGGTTTTTCACCCTGGAATTTACTGTGATCAACTCTGTATTGTGCCTGAAGTTAAAAAAAAAAAAAAAAAAGAAAAGAAAAAAAAGGACTGCATGTCAGCATTTGGAGTGCCAGATTTGCTGGCATGGCCGGCAGACTGCATTGTATACGAGGAAAGAGTCTTCTCCATTCTGTACTTCCCCCTTCGAAGATCTGAGGTGGACAAAGCGAAGACTGTGCGAGGAGTACAATGAGTACAAGTCACTGCCTGTTTTCAGAGAACAAACAGTGGCAAACGGTCTAGAAAATGTATGCATGGATGATGGATGTATAGAACAGTATTAGTTATGAGTCTGTAGGGACCTGCATGTCGACATGCCGCCTCCATCAAAGCAGTAAAAACTGTAAGATCCGTTGGCACTGGACAATGTTACAAGAACACAGCAAACCTAAAACAGCCCCAATGCTTTTAAATTTACTCACGATGAAATGCAGAATGACAACGTTACGTTGTATCAATTTTCAAAATGTAAATGAGGGAAATGATCCCAGGGATGCAGGCATGAGCGCTGTGCCATTGACCCCGACCTACGAGCTGGTTCCAGTTTAAAAAGGTCTGACCGTCGCTATGGTGCCAGACAACTTTTTCACACGAGTCTCACAAACCAAAGGAAAATGTCAAGGGAACGCTCATTACTTTATATTAAATAAATTAAAATAAAACCAACATTAGCAGTTGGATTATTTTGTTTCTAAATGTGGGTGCAAATCATTAAAACCCATCAGCCCTCATCTGCCAGCCAGTGAACATGTGACATGAGCCCACAGGACTGGTTTTCAAGGTGTGTCTTCCTGAACACACGGGGAACTTGAATAGAGTTTAAGTCAATGAGACGATAAAGGAGAGGCGTGGCTAGCCAGTTGGGTTCCACACCTACTGAAAGCATTGACACATCAAATGGACGAGCACGCCCTCGTGCCGTGTACCTTCAAGTCCACAACCACCTCAGCAAGGATTTATTTAAAAAATAAAATCTACGTTTGGGCCCCAAAAATCATTTAGAAATATATATATATATATATATATATATATATATTTATATATATATATATTTATATATGTGAAAAAAAAAAACCCTAAAGAAAATACATTAAAAGTTAGTTCACGTGTGTCACAAGCCATTGGTCGGGATCAACTAGTGCCCCACGGCCTTAAAATTAAGTGTAACGTTCTCGGCCAAAGTCAAATATATTCAGACGCCAGTATCGCGTTTAACCTCAACAGGTGCCTTAGTCAGGGAGAACCAGTGTGACGCAATTATTGAAAAACGGGTCCAACAGCTCCCAACGCAAACCCCCCACGAGAGGAAGCGTCTCGGCTGTCACGGGCACGTTTCAGCCTCGACGCACCTGCTCCTTGGAGTCTAATCCGGTAACTATTGTTTTAACGCTTCACTCGGATTCAGTTAAGAAACAAACACCACTTACAACACTTTAGTTTGCTGATGAAAATCCTCGTAAGCCGTCAAGTGGTGTAAATCCAAACGGTCGGCTCACCTGCCGATGGCCCACAGGTGTGCCTTCTACTCTGCTCGTGGCGCTGACTACGGTCGGCTCGCCTCGCGACTTTAAAGGAGCCGCCGGGGGGGCGTGGTCTTGCTTCCGCGTTCGCCGATTGGCCAATTCGTGGTCCCACGTTTCTAGTTCATTTCTGAGCGATACCTCATCGAAAGCGATGTGGATATTTTGTAATAGTACACACGATATATCCACATAACACATACTTTATTGGTTTCAGTACAAAAAAAAAGGAGATCAGCTTTCTCCACAACCTCCCTAAAACCGCAGTAGCATTACAAAGGTAGATGACAGGCATTCCAGCACCTTTATTCTAAGACTACAAGACAGTTAAAGACACTTCAGGTAATTTGGTAGGGGGGGGAAAAGAGCCCTGACTGACGCATTATGTGACATTTACTATGGCTTTTTTCATTATTGTTGTTCTGTGTCTGTACCTTCTTGTTTGAATGCACTTATAGTCTATGCTTTGGATAAAAGGTGACAGCTAAATTAAAAATGTGGTGTAAATGATGATAAAGACAGAAACCGTAGCTTAGACAGTATTGTTTCATAGGAAAGTTCACTGCACCGAGATGCAAAGGATAATGACAATAAGGAAGGGACCGAGGCAAAGAATGTTGAGGTGTTTTTGCTTTTGTTCATTGTAGTTTCCTTTTTGGGGAGGGGAGACGGGTGGGGGGTGTTCAAGGCCTTCTCATGGTAACTAAGGCAATATGTAAAACTATGAGGGTGTGTCAGAGAGAAAGGTTTCAGTCACTAATGCAGGTAGTTTCAGCAAGGAGGGATGGAAGAACTCATAAACAAATGCAAATTATGGCATAAGTGACACAAGACGACGTCTGTTCACTCAAGGCCTGGTCTTTTCCCACGTGTCGTCTCTTCTTGCATCTCAGTATGCACACCCTGCAGACGCCGTCGCTTCACACTCAAATTAAAAAGGGAAACGCAATGAGATATAAAAAGTACAAAAAAAACATTCATAACATTGTGCAAACAAAGTCGTACAATTATTTACACAATAGCTTGTCATTCCAAGGCCTTAATTATTATCTGCAATTACATAACAGGAGCCACTTCCATAAACCCATAAATAGCTTCACCGGCGTCGAAGGACCATCATTAACATGTTTTTCTATTTCCACGAGTTAACCGTGAAGGGAAGTGTGATAATTTGCAAAGTTGTCCATGCAGACAAAAGCCAGACTTAATCTTCATCGCTGCTCCATGCGTCCTGAAAGGCTTGATTCACTGAAGACGGGGCCCCGGCAGCCTGCAAGGGATCAGGACATTCAGCTCAATACCACGACAAAAGCATGATACATGTGTGCACAGATCTCATGGGTATAACAACTACTGCTTATGTGATGCATGTATATCCCTTTCCCGTTACCTGATTTGCACTTTTTGGCTCGTCCTCCACATCTGGGGAGCGAAGGACAGGAATCCACGCCAGGATGTTACAGTCTTTACCTCCAGTGTAGAGCTCCTGCGTACGGCCCAGAACAAGGACAGCTCAGGTTCTGACACGCGAGCTCACACCATATTACAGGAAACAAAAGAGGAGGAACGTGACCTTCCACCTTGCAGCACTCCCAAACTGTGACGTCGGCACCTGCTGGAACACCGGCCAAAGGGGCCGAGAGCCAAATAATGAAGGGGCTTAAAACTGTGTCACCCTCTCTGTGTCAGGCGAGTGATCGGTATCGATACGTCGGACAAGCTGCCTCTCACAGAACCAGGACGAACAAGGTTTTAAGGACGAGATCTCCTTTCCCGGAGCTCTCCCGAGTCACGAGCTGCCGAACAGCATTCCTACGTTACACGTTCGACGGATGTTGACATCGGCTTATGGAGAGGGCGGCGGTTGGAGCATTTGGAAAAAGGATGTATAACTAACTAGACTCCCGATTTCAGCCAACAGCTCGAATGAGGACGGGTAGTGCTTTTAGTCGGATACGAGTGCTACGGGCGTCAACATTTGGAACTTCCTCACATCGGGCTCACGGGACGCTTACGTCTCGCAGATGCCGAGCCTCTTGTTGCCTGGGCGCACGTACACAGCATATGTCACACATTTCTGAGAGTGACTCAACATCTCACCGTTCATTCCTCAGCCGGAGAAACAGGCACAAGCAGAGCATTGCGCGTACGGATGAAACTGAACCAAACACCTGACAGAGGAGACGGACGCTGTGTTTGTGCAGTCAAACCGCCGCCGCCCGACTTCTGATCGCGCCGCAGTCGACGTTCGACCCGGGTCGCACAAAGGGGACGTCCGCTATTTGCATTTATGGCAGCTCCGTACGGCCGAGGGAATGTCGACTTGACCGCGTTATCGGTCTAGCCCTCCCCCCCTTCTCATCAGGCTCATTCGAGGTTGCCATGGTGATTGCAAATGTCTAATAGCCCTTACAGCGACAACAACAAGCGCGGCGGTTGAAGAGATAAAGACAAAAGCACACAGGAGACTGGCTACAGCTGACGGGCTGAGCAAACACGGGCCGGGCGATGGAAATACAAACAGGCTACGGGAGGGTTCGACGCGGCTCACCTGGTAGTCCGGGTGGAGCTCGCAGCAGTCCACGTTGTTGTAGTGACCCCTGAGCGTAGAGACCAGCTCTCCCGTGTGGACGGCGTACACGGCCACCGAGCTCTCGCACGGCACAAACACAAACTCCGGGCCGCAGCCGCGCGACACGGCGAACTGGAGCTTCTTGCGGTTCCCGTTGGAGACCTTCCCGTAGTTCACCTGAGGGACAAACCGCACACACGGCTCAGATGTGGACAGTTAGCGTTGTACGCTAAAAGCTACGAAAACACTGCTCGTCTCTGAAGGTGTCGTTGGAAAATCAGGGCTGCCTACAAGTTTTCCTCCTTTTTTAAAAAGGTTTTTAATCAACTTTTTGTTGAGTCACATAAACGTTGTTGTAAACAAGGTTCCACAGACAGCAAGTTAATCCATTCAAACAGCATTCAACACTGAATATATACAAACCACCACTTAATTGCAGAGACAAGGAAAAATAAATAAGTGAAGATAGCAGATAGAGAAAACAAATATAAATGAATACAACCCATGGACAATTGTGTCAAATGTCAAAGTCGTCTTGCCTTCTATCAAAGTGAAACATATCGGTGTCAGGAAATGGGGCCTTAAAGAGAATGAATCTGAGTGAGGAGGTCTCAAGTCTCTGCAGCCGTTTATCTTTCCATCAGGGCAACATCTCTAACATCGTTCCGCCGTGCCTCTATCGACGGGGTTCAGGAAACAGCCGTGAGTGCAAAGTGGTTCTCTTGGGCACAGTTAAACATGCAAACGGCCGACCTGGAGTTATGACGGAGGTTACGTCATCGTTCAACAAAATGATTAAATTCAACTTTCCAGACTCTATAGACCAGAGAATAGAACACTCTGCACCAACAGCTCAGATTACCATCTCCATATTAGCATTTTGAAGTACCTTTATGGATTGACAGACAAATAATGAAAAAATGTTACTTGTTTTTTTCCTGAGAGATTTTTCTAATAGAGGTCAAAGCCCTGTCCTTCAATCGCCACCGATACCACAGAGGTAAACCCAGGTGCTTAGTGGATGAGAGGGTAAAGGTTAATCCCACGGGACCCTGGGGGGCGCGAATTTAGAAACTATTCTGGAATGTGAAACGGAATTCTGTAATAAATTGTAATAAACTGGGCCGAGTTGGATTCTGCGGGAACTTTTGAGAATTTGTTGAACGTTTTAGACTGCGCACAGAACTACACGCACGTCACGTCCCTATCACATTTTATTGAAGACGTTTATGCTTCTTATAACATAAAATAAAAACATATGTGAAATATACAGTAGAGACGTAGAGGTCTGTCAGATGTGTTTGCTATGGGGAGTTTATTTTATTTCTAACCCTCTATTGTTGACGCCCCTCTTTACTAGCTTGCAGTCTTCTTCTATACAGCAGCACAAAAGGCTCCTCAGGCACAATAAACTAAACGGTGGACTCATTCATAAAACGACAGCCTTTTACTTTCCACCAGAAGAACAGCCCAGCAACACCCCGACATTAAAGGCCCCTGAAACTGAAACCATCCAAGTCTATTCAAAACCTTTTAGGCCCCTCAAGTCACATGTTAATGTACTTTTCCAGGACTGAAATCCAGCCTAAAGGCAACAAACGACTTTGTCCTGAAGGTGCAGCATTAGTCCACTTCATTCATGCCTGTGAAACAGGTTAGAATCGCATGGAGCTTTCCGTCTACGCCATCAACATGCAGCAGACACTCTGGCAGCCCCATCGATAATCAAACCCTGATCATTGGTCAAACAATTTAATTTATTATCGGTCGTAAAATGGAAAAGAATATCAACCGTGGCATCGTAAAACTGCAACAGAAAAATGAGAACAGGAGACGTTGTTGCATTGTATAGTTGGATACATACAACGTAGCTTTAGCAGCAGGTTACGTTTCTCTCGTGTGGCTTTGAGAAATACAAATGGTTTGATCATTTTATGTAAAACAAGGCTATAAAGCAAAGTTTTCAAACACTTGAGGTGAAAAACGAGGCTGATTGTTTGAATAATTAGTCTGCTCTCTGGCTTTTATATTCTCTGCATCATCGCTCCAGGTTTTATTTAAATGTTTAAGAGTGATGGATGAGAGGAAACAGTATAACTCATATGTGAAACAACAAGCCGCATGTTTTTGGAAGAACTCGTACAGCAGCATTCTGTATGCTCTGCTCCCTTGTGAATGCCGCTTTAGGTTAAGACAAATAAGTATGGAGGCGCACGTCCTCTGCGCCATCAGGGGAATTTATCTCTGTTTATACTCTTAACAGAGATATCGTCACCCTCAATTCCATGCAGGCTGCACTTCATGTCAGCATTCAGTCTAAAGGAACATAAGATAAGAACATAAGATGTTCCTATAGAAACATCAAACAAATGGAAGCATGAACTGCGCTTAAAAAGGACCAAAGACTAAACGTGGTGGTACTTGCTGACTTTGGCGGAAAATCAAATGAACTGAGACAGGACGTGGCTGAAAGGTTTTACTGTGAATTAAAAAGAGGTGTCAAACGAGTCGGCTCAGGATGGACAGCTGGACTGAACCTTTAATTCATAAAACTGCAGGTGGCCACACCTGGATCATTTTTTGTAGTTTTTGTAAAACCAAACTAGACATTTTTGGTACTATTAAATTCATTAATCACACTTCCCTCGTGGATCTACTTTGGTAGAGGCGAAATAGTCTTCAACTGCCTCAACTACGTAACCCCGAGTGTTGATCCGGGTAGGTTAAAAGGACAACGTGTTTCATCTCTCACACAGAGCTTACCAGTGTGTTTTCCCCGGTAGCACTATTCCATAGTCGCATCCGGTCATCGGTTCCTGTGGTGAGGAGGTAGAGGCCATCGCCAGTGAAGCACAGGCCGTTGACTCTGCCGTTATGCGCCGTGTTCACTGGGGAGACACGGTGACGTACGTTGGTCATGTCTTTCCTCCTCCACCGTCATCGATACCCAGCGTTGATTATACGTCCCGCATTAATCACTCATATTTTAGTGGCATGTTTTGAGTGTGATTGTTGTTCAAATTTCTCGTCTTGATTTATAACAGTGGAAAAATAGGAAGTTAATTGCAAACTGGTGTGACCCAGTGTATCTCTCAGATGAACAGTCAGTTGTGTGTCACCTCGATCACATGAAGTGATTCATTATAAATCTAAGCTAAGGGGAATCTGTTGTCCGTCTATTTTCTCCTACCAGCAGCTTTCAAATGCATCATCAGATGCATCATCGGCCAACTTCAGTTTTTACTTCGGGCTCATTTGCACCTCAGTTCCTAGTCCTAGTATGTGTACAGTAAGTCTGTGCAGGTGAATGCAGTGTCCTTTTCTAAAAGGACATTTAGAACAGTGATTGGCTGATTGGAGAGTCATTGGAGTGGAAACTTTCTGGACTAGGATGATGCATTCCATCAGCATACAGACAAAGGCCCAATACTGCTCACCAAAAATGGCTCCCAGGGAGGCGGTCTGACTATTACCTCTGCCCTGATACCTGGAATATTCCTTCTCTAAAAAAAAAGCCTGGACGTTTCCGCTGAGACCCGCCCACTGCGTGAATGAGAGAAACGACGGGGGGAAGGGGAGGGGAAGGGTGACAGTACCTGCCTCGGAGGCGGCTTTGGATTTGTCTCCGTTGTGCTGATCCAGACTGAAGAGACAGCCAGAGGCCCGACGCACATCCCATACTTTCACTTTGCTGTCTGCACTTAAGAGGGAAATGGAGGAAATTAACTTTGTTTCAAGCTCTCCTTGTAAATGAACAATTCATTCCTCTAAACAAAAAATAAGGATGATCGACCTACTAAATAAAAAGGCATGCTCAGACACACACACCAGTGTTTGTTTGTTACGGGCCAGTTTTCTGTTGGATACATGCTGCTCCATAATAGCATATCATACTCCTCCCTGTGTGTCTCTCGGTGCCAGTTGCTTTCAGAATGCTGCACTCATCCCATTGGGTCAATTAGCAGGTCTAATGTAGCATAAAACAGCTGGCCGCTGTATCCACCATGTGCTACACTGACAGGGCTGCTGGTGCTGCCATCTCTCTGCGGGCGATGTGGTGCCATTATGCCTGACCCGGGGCGGCAATGTGGCCAGATGGGCCGGCACTGATCTGACGAGAACTGTGGGGACCCAGCGTGGTGGGGATTGCCCAATACCCACTAACACTAGTCCGGGATGTGCCGGGATGAGCCTACCTGGCAGTTGCTAAGATGTGCTCGTATCTGGGCGACCAGCGCACGGACAGGATCTCTGCTCTGTGACCTGGAGGGGGGGGGGGGGAGAGTTAGTGTGTGTCTTTGTGATGTAAAAACCTTTTCATGTGTGTTTCAAGCAGCTGTGTGTATTCGTGGTCTTGTTCACTAACCCTGAAGAACTTGAATCCGTGACCCAGATTTAAGGTCACACAGATGGATTTTAGGGTCTTTGGTGCCAACTGAAACACAGACAAAAAGGCGGTGGATGAAGGGGTTTCAGAGGGTTGCCATCATTTAACTATTTGTTTGTGTTAAATCTGCGTAAACCAAGTAGAGATGCATAAGAAGGGGGAAGGTGAAGGTGTGGTTACAACAAACACCGACTGATACGGACCACTGATAAACGTGAGCTAACACACCCTGCTACACCTCGGAGCAGGGTAAGCTAGTTAAGGAAAATAACCAGGACAAACAAGTTGATTAGGATGGCATTCATATCTAAAATACCTCCTGCTGCTGCTTTTTTATAGACACGTACTGCCTCAAAATGTCTCTTAGATTAAACAGGGGACTTTAGAGACATCAGAAACTTGTTTGACAAGCATTTACACCCCTGAGAGGGAATGACACATTGAGCCAAAAGAAAACTGTCACCGTGATCCTCTACAGTTAAAAAACAGGTGTGTCAAAGGAACGGAGTGTATGCTTATTAATGAGCACATACTCAGGAGGAAAGAGAAACCCGTTGGTCCTGCTCGGCAACGTGGTGAGGCGGAAACTAGATTCTTACAATTTTTCACCCCAGAAATCTGTCTCCGAAGGAGAGTCTGTGTGTAAAGCAGCTTCTGGCCCCTCCAGGGTCGTAGAGGAAGAAGTTACCAAGTGACCAGGAGGTGGAAACTGGGGTACGTTGTGCATGTGTGTGGGGGGGGGACAAGAATGTTGCCTTAAGTCCAATGCTTGTTAGCGCACAATCCCAAAAATGTCAACCGGTACCCCGCAGATTCCATGAGTTCTTTGTCTTCTTTGTCATTGCTTCGTCACACACCTGCGATGAGACTGTGCTTCCTGGCAATGGGGGACAGGTGGTGGCTGTAGACGTTGCCCTCAAACTCGAAGACTTCAGCGGGCTGAAGGATGACAAAGTGAGGGAAAGGGAAGGTCAGCCTTCTGTGCGCTTAGCGCTGAAAGAGAATGTTAATTTGATGATGAAATACACCTCTGTGACCTTAAATAAAGCCCCAGCCTCAACGTTTAACTGGAAGATAAATTCCCCACAGTGCTGAAGTTCAGAAAATTAGGATTCGGTAAAGATAAAGGAGAGGGAGGGAACCAGCCGCTCAGAAGGCAGCTCATCCGAGCAGCATTGGCGGCCACAATGAAAATTCTTCAGCAAATATAAAAAGGGTCTCTGTACGCAATCTGTCAGTGTGTGCCAGCACTGCCCAATGGATACACACACACACCCGCGCGCAGACACACAAACAGAGGAGTTACTGTTTTCAAAAATGTACTATATATACACATTGTGCATACCAATGCTACACATACACTAATATGCAAATACAAAACCACAGTTAATAATTGAATAGGCCTGAGTGAGAGTGTTCGTATGGGACACAAAAGCACACATCGTAATACGAATGAAAGGTCGCTGGTTCTTTTCTGTCCTTTGCCTGACCTTTTGAGGTAACTGGCCCACCATATGTGACCATGCTGAAGCAGAAAATAAGAAAAGTTTTTCAAAGAGTAAGTGAAGGGATGATAAAAAGAGAGAAATGGTAGTGGAGTTATAAGTGTCAGCTATTTACTTAAACTAATCTGAAATGTGCGATGCGTGACCAATTAATTGGGGAGATCCAAATAAGTTTATACGGCGTTTCAACTCCATTAACAAGTTTACACAGCTTGTATTGACAGTGATTGTAATTGTTTCCTTTCAAATTCACACATGGCAGACAAGGGAACTAATTATCCAGCTACACCTTATGACCTGGAAACTCAATGGATGCAACATTTCACACGGAGTCTACTTAGACAATGGGGGACATTCCTTACCTTCAGCGTCTCCGTGTCCCAGACTTTCATCGTCTTGTCAAAGGAACTGGAGACAAACATGCCGGTGTCGTAAGGGTACCACTGGACCGTCTCTACGCTGAATTTGTGGACATACCGATTTGACCTAATAAAACAAGATCACCAAATGTGAGCAGATCAATACAAAACTACAACGACACAGATCCAGCCTAGTCCACCAACCGGGCTCAAAACAGAGAAATGCATTTGTGTAGAAGCACATAAAAGCAGTGCAAAATAATCAAACAATAAAGCCATTTTCACATTGCAAACCATGACGCTAAATTCTGCTGTATACATGTAGGTGCATACTTTCAAGACAGATGGTTAACAGAGCAGCAATTAATACATTGTTTTATCACAGGTCAGCCTTTACAATGCAGTGCTACCCTCTAGTGGGCAAAATCAGTAGAGCATCCCCCTCACCTGCCCACCGTGCAAACGGACTTGCATGTGTAGTGGAGTTTCCCACTATAGTTCTCCAGGTCATAGATGACGATCACTCCATCTGCTCCACCAGACAACATGCTAAAGAACAACAAGGTTGAATTCATCAACAGCGTGGCTTCATCTAATACAGATGCCACGTTTCTACCGAAGTACGAGTGTCGGAGAACTTCAGGTATTCAGATTACCTTTTTGAGGTTTTTTTATGTAATTTCCAAATGCTTTGTGGAACCAAAAGCAAAATGTCAGTCAACAACACGACCCTGGCCTCTTATCACAAACGTTTGTTCAGGATAAACCTAAAACTATCATTTCACACAGTTTCAGGGGAAGATAGCAATGTAATTCATAAATCAGTAGAAGTTCAATTGCGCCTAGAGTTGTAAAAGCAGACTATTTTCTCCAAGTCGATAGCCATATCAGAAAGTTTCAGTACCCCACTATTATTAATAGTATTGTTAATATTAATATTATTAATGAACGCGTATTTGAGATGCTCAACAGGGCAGCTGGACTGCTCCTGTCTGTACCTTTAAATCAGTCACACACAAACACACACTACGCTTTATAAGCCTAATTAGGACTACTAAGACTTACTATCGGCCCTCTACTACTTCAATGTCTATGGTGTTGATGCCATTTCCGTGGATTCTGTCCACTTCTCTGTCAGGATTCAACGTGAGACTCAGGACCCTTTGAAGAAAAAGATAGAAGCGATAAACATTACCAGACAATTCATTAGATTTAGACTAATACATTATATATATATATATATATATATATATATATATATATATATATATATATATATGTGTATATGTGTATATTGTTTAAATAACATACTAGTAGGGAATAGCAAAATTACCAGACATTATTCTTCAATTGAACAAAATAAAGAGACAATTGAAAGATTTAAACTAATTATTGAACCAATCCATAAAAACAGTCTGATACTTGTATGTTCACAAAGTAATTTATTGAGTGACTTTTGTAAACATTAGCTAGTAAAGTATGTATTTTTTCTCATCGTTTTTCATTTTGACAACATCATACAGCCTCAAATGACTCCACAGTGAAATCTTTCGTTCATCTTAGTTACGTATGAAGACAGCAGCCTTCTTCGTGTTGTGTTTTAGTGGAGACACAAGCAGATTCCCTCTCACCTTCTCGTTGACTCTGCTCGTCTCAGTCGCAGAGGGTCGTCCAGGCCGGCCTGCCGTGCAGTCAGAAACCCCAACATTGCTTCAACTTAAATGACAAACGTTGGGTTTCACAGCAGGACCAACGTTAAATTACTCGCTATTTGCCATTGTTTGCTAACGTTAATTTAGCCGAAGGGCTAGCATGTCAACTACAGCGAAGAACGTTTTTAAACCAAACTAAAATGTTAAGCGCCCAACACGTCATGTTTGTATCTAAAGCTCCGTACTTACTAAATACAGTATTTAATCAAATTATGTGTGTTTTCATATTTATTCAACTAGCTTCGCAGCAGAATCATACAAAGAGCCGCCATGTTGTGACGTAATTGCTATTCTATGACAAACGCGATGATTGGTTACTCAAGTACAGCCGTCCAATCAAAACCCGGTTTATTTATTCTCCACCCAAACCTTGTAATCTTGCATAAAGAATCCAGCGAGAGGGCACACAGCGACCAGGGCGCACGAAATACACTCCGAATAACTTTCGGGTTAATCCTGTGAAGATGAGCAGGATTTCTGGAGTTCTGCGTCGTGCGTTCGGAATAGTGCGCGAGCACGTCGGGACAGATGCTTCGGGAAATCACTATTACATAGTCCCAGAACAGAAGACGTGGACAGGTAAATTAAACCTGGTTGTGTTGACATCAGCCAGCTGTGGATTCATTTAATTGCAATATTGACGCGTGTGGAGAAATCAAAATATGATTTAAATAAAAACGTACTTAATCCCTTTTCCGTCTAATACCCGGGTTGTGTGCACCTTGACAAACTTTGCTTATTTGAAACCACTATGTTTGATATTAACTTGCAACGCACACTGTACTGATTATAAAATATGAATATTCCACTGATGTACAATGTACTGTGCATTTGCCACCACTCTTTTCCTAAAAATGCGTTGCTGTGGATTTGACTTTATCCTCACCCCCTGTTGTACAAAAAGCTCCTCACTAGATGGAGCCACCGGCTCAACTGGAACATTCCCTCAGTAGTGTTTTGACAGGATTATGTTGGTCTGCACACGAGATTCCACTCACTTTTAGAGCTAAGATCATGTTTGCTCCGCTGTCACTGCACCATAAAAGAGGAGAGCGAGTTCTCCACCGTTGCAGGCGAGATGATCGCTTGTGTGCGGCGAGGATTTGGAAGGAGGTCAAATGTCCCCAGTGACGCAGGCCAAGCAGTAGAACTGTGTCATGGGGCTAATCCGTGGCGTCCTTCACACCGTCTTTGCCTGAGACTGGGGCCAAGGACGCACTCCGTGGCATTGTGAAATCGATATCCCGGCCTTACTGTGCGTCCCTCGTCCAGTTGTCCTGTCTTTCTCACGCAGTGTCTCGTGTCCGAGATCGGACGATGGAGCGGTGTCGGCCATTCTAGTCACCCGCCCCGGTCTTAATTTCAAGTGTTTACAAGAAGAAGATACTGAATTACTGGTACACTACACACGCTGACAACAAAAACACTTCCTGGAAATTGCCAGTGATGATATCCACACGCGCCAATGAACTGGAAACTAAGTGGTGCACTAGATGTGAATCTAAGGGCTGTCCTTCTTTAGTTACTCATCAGCAGAAACCAGGCTAATCCCACTTCCCTCTGTTTGCCATTATAGATTATCAACTGGGGCCCTACACCAGACAATACGCATCGTGTCCGGGGTCACAGTTCAAGTAGCACAGCCTTTTTCTCGTACCAGGCACAATGCTCACTTGACCAGGTTGCTTTTTGGCTTATAAGTAACAAAACGGTTATGCCTCGTGATATTTACCAGAATGATTAAGCCACACCACAGTAATCTAGGAACAATCCCACCTACACAGGATTGGGTTTGTCTCCCTCTCTTGGTGCCATGTTACACAACTTGGGTAAAGCCTTTCTTTCAGTAGCACGGTGTTATAGATATCACAGCCTACACGGCCAACGTTCACCGGCACTTTTCTAAACTCTTTTTCCTTTTTTTTTTTTTCTTTTTTTTTTTTGCTCAAGAGTGATTGGCCTCTGGCAGGTTGCAAGCCCAGTTTAAATTTTTTTTATTTTTTTTTATATCTAACTTGACTTTGTGCTTCACCTTTTCTCGGCAGAAACCTGCGCCCACCTCGTATTTATAATTCATTACAAGGCTGCTCCTCCGGCCCTGGCTGTCAGACTATTCAAATGAGACATCACAGTAGTCCATATTCAAGCACGCTACCGCATTCACCGCCCCATCACCATGACTGGCACTGTGGAGATGCTAGTTGGCCTGCAGAGAAGTAGAAGGAAAAAAAAAAAAAAAAAGATTTCCAAACAAACCCACTCATAAACCCCAGACGGGCACATACACATAAACACTCGTATACGTCGATATCAAACAAATGGCAATACACGGAACACACGTTGTCCTCCTCCTCTTTTCTTTTTGCCGCCACTCACCCGGTCCAGCCTTGTGGAAATAAAGCGGATGCATTATTCAGTCCATATGTCTTGCTAAAGCGGGCTCTTTTTGATCTTAAACTGATAGGCCATGCGTGGGCCCGGGGCCTTAAGGCATGGACCGCAGGGCTTTGCACTGCAGCACACGAGTAGTGGTTGAAGTAGGTAAGGAGTCTCTCTCACTCTCTCTCGCACTCTCAACTCTGCTTACTTCTTCCATTCATTTGTCCATCCCTAGTGTTCAGTCAATCCCTCCCCACCTTTATCCATGCTTTGCTGCTCCCATTTCCTACCTCTCTCTTTACTTTAGAAAACTGGGGCGTGAGCAATTCCTTGCGTGGCAGGATGTGTATGAGAGGAAAATGCAGAAGAAGAATAAAAGCCAGCCGCAACTCCTTTTGCTTTACTGTCCCATCTCAACAACTGGCCCGATTACTCCCTCTCGGTCGTTCCCCTTTTGATTTCCTTGCGTTAGCCCTTCTTTCCCTTGCCCCCCCTCCCCCTCCGTTTGAAGCCAGTCCAGTGAAGATTCCTATTCACAAGGTTGGAATAGTTCAGCTCCGAGTGTGACGCACACGGCTAGAGAGGCGGAATGTCTGTCACCGTCCAGCTAAAGGAGGCCCAGGGTGCGCGGAGAGAACCACGCCGTGGGCCGTGGAGCTCCAGTGGTTGTTGTCCATGTCGGGGGGGCAACAAGAGTGAAAAAAGCCACCGGCAATCCAGCCCGTGGTCTTTTTATACGCCGTTTGCCGTTGGCTCCATTGCGCCGGATAGAGAACCTATATTCCCTCCCTGTGTGTCTGCGTGCGTCTGTCCCCCCCTCCCCCTCAGGCCCGGCTCTGCCTCGCACCGCATGGGGCGCCACGTCACGCTGCCCGGATGAAAGCGAGGCATTCTGCGGACGGGCTCATTCGTCTTCGGCAGTGGGCCCGCAGCTTCCGACGCCCGCCTTCCCTCCCTTTTATTTGGGAAGAGAGGCGCGCTGACATTATCGGCCGCTGCAGGCGCATTTGAAAATAATTGCCTGTATGATTGCTATTTTTCTTACCTCTTTTGAGGAGGTGTAGCTTTTGTCTTTGAATCAATGGCTGCTCAATACTGGACAGGGGAAAGGCAGTTTCCTTTCATGTGCCGGTGAAAAGGATGTATTTTTAGTGCTATTCATTTTAGCGGTGTGTGCCATGCAGTTTTAATCTATTGGTCCTCTCCGCTGTGAGGAGAATGGAAGGGATTCAGAGGTGCTCCACGCTGCTGCAGAGAAAAGATGCATTGACTTGTCGTCCTATCACTATCCCTCGCTCTTTGTCTATTATTTATTTGATTCCCCGGCTCTGTTCTATGAAGTGAAAAACTGAAAAGGCCTCAGTTCTGCTATTTCAGGATGGGTGACTCTGGGGATTGGGGGAGGAGGGTGTGTGTGTGTTGTATTAGTGTGTATCTGTGCTGTGTGGTATGAAAACTACGTGTGTGTGTGTGTGTGCACGTGCATTTGTATCTGCTTTGTATTTAGTTTTTTCTTCTTCTTTTTCTGTTGAAGGAAAGAGAAGGAAAAAAACAACCCCTGTGATTGTGTGTCTTCTCTCCACTTCATGCCCAAACACACTTAACACAACAACAGATGGCTGTGTGTCATCAGAGCGTTGATTCAAGCTGCATATTTCCATGAAAAGAGTCACTGCGGAGAGAGATGGGGGGTCCAAATGGCTGTTCATCCTGCCACAAGTCTTCCCCAGGGTGTGATGGAGGAAGGTCTCTGCTACCGTAGGACACCCAGTCGCTGTTCGCCGCGGAGCGGCCGCGTCCGGAGCCGCCACAGTAAATCACGCTAATTGATCAGCCGCTTTGCCAATGACGGTTGTTAAATCATTACGGGGAAACCTAGTGGGTTTAGCTCATCCCGCCTTCCACTGTTTGCCAAGCGTGTGTGTTTGTATGTGCCTGTGGTGGAGGGTTGTGGAGTGGCTTAACTACTTCATTAAAAAGGCATTTGAAAAGATAGATGGTGAAAACGAGAAACCGGCCCATTTATTTATTTTGGTAGAGGAGCACAAGTGGGCACAGCTCCAATATCGGTAGTGCAAGCACCTTGCAGGGCTATTGAAACGCTGCATATGTACACCAGTGTGTGTGTGGTGTGTGTGTGTGTGTGCGTATATGTCCCCTGTCTCACTCTTATTTGAATGCAATCAATCCGATGCGGTTCATGACAGCAACAGAAAGACATTTTCTTTTCATTTGTTGTGGATGCGATTCACCGTCCGGTGCGTTTCCCCCTCGGCCTCCCTCCATCTCTCCCTCCCTGCCTCTCTCTTTCTCTCTGGTCAGATGGCCAGCGAGATGTTTTGACACCTCGGGGCTCCTTGTCCGTCAGAAACTCAGCCGGGAGGACTGAAGGACAGACCGACCCGACCCAACGCAGACGTCTCCCGGAGCCTGCCGCTGCTTATTCAATTCAGAATATTTTAATAAAGGAGACAGGCGGCGGGAAATAAGGCTAGGAGTAAGGGAGCGGAGATAAGGCCGAGGGAGATTCACAGGAGGGTGGGGTATAGAAAGTGACTGACAAAGAACGAGGGGGGATGCTGACATGCGGGGTGAAATTATAGAGTGGGGGGAAGAATAGAGGGAGTGAAAGTGAAAGGAGGGTTTCTGGCAGAAAGAGGGCGAAATGAGTGGGTGGGACAGACAGACAGATAAAGGGGGAGAGAGGGAAGGTGGAGGTAGGTTAATGGGGGAAGAGTGTGGGTGGGGAGGGGTTTGCACTGAAGGTGCAATGGAAGGGGAAAGGGGTTGGATGAGAGTGATGGAGGCGAATGGAAAGGGGTGGACAGCTTGGTGTATGGACATCACACGTATGGGCCTCAGAGGGGCCGGGGAGGGAGGGTGGGGGGGGTCCACAACGCTCCACAGCCTCACAAAGGACACCGAGTTCCTGGCTCGCCACGGCCCCTTTCTGTTACCCCGTTGGGCAGGGAGGAGACTTCAAGAGGATGGGTGGTCTTAAGAGGACGGGGTTAAAGTGGCTTTAGTTAAAGGTAACACACGGGGGAAATCACGGGTATCTTTTTCAGCGTGTTACTGCTTTGTGTATGAATTATTCTCTGTTTTTGCCTCAGCGGCATCGACAAACCCACTGAGGGCTGAAAAAGAACGAGCAGCAGCAGCAGGCCTTTCTTTACGCCTAAAATCTCCTCCTTTCACCAGAACCCATGCAAAACAACGGCTGGCCTTTTCCCTCTAAACCTCATCCCGCATCATTAGGTTCAGGGATAATGGGTAACCATGGTTACGGGCCTCACACATTCCCTCCATGTTTTTCCAGCGGAGGAGAAAGCGAGAGAAAGCAGGAGAGGGTATCGCTACCTGGTTTGCTCATCGGATCACTCCATCTTCATAAAGCTGGCCATTACCATTCTGGCATCGCACCCCCCCCCCATTCACACCGCTCAGCTGGAGAGGAAATAAACCAGAGCAGCCTGATGGGCTCGTCGCGCCACAGACGGCCTTTTGTTTCCGCCACGGTGTTGGGCCTAAAACTCGCTGCTCTTCCACGGCGAGACCGCCGCGCTGTCTCGCCGAGAGGGAGAGCGAACGTGTCACATTTCCTTTTCTTTCTGCACGATAGACGTCCCCGTCGATGGCGAGGAGCCTGATGCTTCGGTCCGCCCGTTGGAGTCAGACGTAGAGAGCTCATTCAGTTTTGCTCCTGTTTCCCCCCCCCGGATGTTGCAGATCGAGATGCGCTCCCCTGACATCTGCTTCCGTAATCAAAGACAGGCGTGCGGGGGAAAGGCACACCGCGAGAGAGACGGCACGAGGCGCTCCGGAATGACATTGTGGAGGTGAAAAACCTCCCAGGTCGCCCCCAGCAGCACTCACCTGGGAGCTGATGTGTGATGTCGGGGTGTGTGTGTGTGTGTCTGTTTGTGTGTGTGTGTGTGTGTGTGTGTGTGTGTGTGTGTTGAAGCAGGTGATGGGGTTTAGCGGCGTGTGTTCAGGGTTCAAAGAGCAACCCTCGCCTCGCATCACGTCTTATTCTAACGAACGGGAAGGATTGGCGTACCTGCCGTTTTGATTGGCTCCCGGCCCGGCTGCCAAGGCAACCCCCCCCTCCCCCCCTCACCCGTCTCCTCCCTTTCCCTCACCCCCCCCCTTCTACACCCCCGGTTCCACAGCCGGGCTCGCAGATGAGTCGAGCGCAGACAGGTGAGATGGCTCATGAATATTTATGCGGTGGGATTTCATTCCTCCTGCCGCTGGCCCCTCCCCCTCTCCAACGCAGTGCTGCGTTTGTCCTTCACGGTAAGAGGCAGCGTCCTCGCTCCTGTCCCTCCGGTTAATCTGACTGCTCTCTAGCGTGTGTGTATGTGTGTGTGTGTGTGTGTGTGTGTGTGTGTGTGACTGGTAAGTAGGTTTCCCCGAGTGAGTGATGAGAAGGCAGACCTGTGACAAGGGGGCCCGCTGAGATCGAGAGCCCCCAACACCTTTCACACCCCTCTGACTCTCTGAGGCCTGAACTGTGAAGCAGAAAGATGGCTTACGCCCAATTTGCTGACTGCCTGACAGACCTCAAAGTACATCCTATACAAAGGTAACATTAAGGATTATATAATTTGATTACTTGCAGAATTGATAATCTGTTTATCTAAACTGATGTTGTTAAAGTACAAATTGTACCAGTTAAATATTGTTAATTTTTTTTTTCTTCTATTTCTAAATGTTTCTAAAAGGAACGTAAACGTTCAGCTACACTGGACTTTGTCATTATTTATGAGCACTAAAGCCCTTAAATACAAAATTGCCTTTTAATTCCCTTCTCTCCCTTTTATATCATTGTAATATATCCAATTATGTTTTTATTTACGTTATTATTTTTGACTGTTGATCAAACACAACAAGGTATTTTAAGACATGACTTTAGGCCAGACTGATTAATTAGTCATGCCGGTAATTGTTGCTGTTGCAGGCGGCCCCCTGAGCTCAGCATTCCCTACGCAAATGATGTGCCAGGCCAATTCTGTTCTGCTACGCTGGGTCAGGACTAGGCCCCTGCGCGGTGAAAAGCCTTCACCAATAACCCCAATGCACACACGCCGGGTTGCTGCGTGTTCTACCTTTCCTACATTAACATTTATTAATTACTCCTCACGTGAAGTGATGCCACTGGGAAGAAGCGCTTGGAAGCTGCGTAGCTCACGTGTAGAGCCGAACAACACGTAGCCTCGTGTTTTGTCCCGGCTCAGAGATTACCCAGCGAGCCGGATTCCCCCCCCCAATCAGACCGACAAACCTCCTCCCAATGTGTATGTGGTGGGAGGATCAACCGTGTTTCATAAATATATGTACATACTGTATTTGTTATTCAAATCCAAGGATAAAAGCCGTGGTTGGAAGGGGTTTAGTCATGCTGCGAAAAGCAACAAGACGAGTGGAGCCATGTTGGACTGTGGCAGAGGGGGGGGCACAGACGGAGGAAAAAGTGGGTTCCTCTCGTTATGTGTATTAGTTCGGCATTAGCCGTATTCGCGCACATTGCTGGTGGGGACTGTATCGTAATTGTACCAATTCCGTCTGTTGCCACCCACGCCAATGCAAACACTGCTCGGATCTGCTTTTATAATTAGCATACCTGTTAAACGTATTTGAGTATTGCCTAGAGAACGCAGCCTTTTGTTTGCTCGCAGTTATTTTTGTTCCGCTTTCACGGGGGGGGGGGGGTTCTTGGAAAACCGTGTCTCACAAGGCCTTTTCGAGGCATACATGCAAACAAATGCGAGGATCATGAAACGTAAAGCTGCAGCGCTGCAGCCTGTGAAGCCCTATAGTGACAACCTAGTGGGAGGCAACGCAGAGACCCAAGCAATAGCCTAATTAGCTGACCTGATTACTATAGAGGCTGAATCAAGTATGGAGAGGAATCTCTCTCGCGCGCACACAGAACATCACATGTGTTAAAAAAAAAGAAGAGTGTTTTTGTCTTTACGGGGGGGAGAATCAACTTCTTCTTTGCAAGAGCTTAAGCAAACACGGGGCCTCCCGCACGCACACTTAGCCACTCCGGAGCGCCATCGCTCAGCCATCCCCGCGCCGCGGCTATCCGTTATGGCTGAAGTAAACATTAAGGCCATCAGTCTGCCGTGCGCGTGGAGGTGGTTGCCTCCATTTGTCCGTGTCCAGTCGGCTGCGGAGAAACGGTGATGGTATCCTGACAGATTGTCTGTGTTTTGGAGCGTGTTGTTTTTCGCCCCCTTTGCCCGTTCATTTCTCTTCTCCCAGCCATGTTTGCCATGCATCATCTCTCTCTCTCTCTCTCTCTCTCTCTCTCTCTCTCTCTCCCCCCCCTCCTAACCCCCTCACTCCTTGCCTCATCATTTCTTAGAGGGATGGGAGTGATGCAGAGCCGTCCGGCTGCCTGCGAAGAGAAACTGTGGAAACACTTGTTATTGGGGAACACTGTACAAAACACCGCACAAAGACAAGACGAGACTGGCCCCCTTATTCTGTCTCCACACCCCCCCACGCCCCCACCCACACCCACACATTGCGTCCCTACTACCGGCGCGTCTTCATGTCATTGTGTGCCAGCCAAACTTGTCTAATCAGCAGATTTCGACCAAAATAATTGGCGGTGGCCTCGCTGCAAGCGAGCGCCGTGCTGTATACAGATAGGGAGAGGAGCACTTAATATTCCACGCGGCTCGTGCCTCTCCTGTTCTCTGTGATATCTGACCTCTTTTGTCTCCGGCTCGGCTTGATGTTGATTTTGGAGGGCATTGTTAGCCGGAGCGCCGCGATTGGCGGGGCCCGTGAGTGAGGGGGGCTGTGGTTGGCTGGGTTAAAGAGGGAGGCTGATTTGCATAAAGGCTTAGCCCAGATTTGGAGCCACTCAGCGAGATCTGAGGAGAAGGGCCCGAGGGCCGCGAGGTAATCATCCATGGCCTGTCACGGCGCCGTCATCCCTCTGTGCGTTTGTGGGTCTGTGCGTCCGTCTGCGGCGCGAGCATCGTGGCTGCGCCTCTTTGTGTTTGTTTGTGTTTGCTCTTTGCGTTTCGTGCGCATCGCTGTCGAGCATCTCTTTGCTCCATGTGTTTGTTTTGTTGTTTTTTTCTACTTTCAGTTACATTTTTTCTTTTTGTGTCTTTTCCAGGCAGGCTCATCCGTGCCAAGCGGATGGTCGAGGCAGCCAATCCTACAGAATATGAGTATATAGAGGGCAACATACCGATGGAGTGGGACGGTGAGTCTGGACCACAGCATCACAGCTGTCGCATGCTTGCTATCACTAACGTCCTGGCACGTTACACAAAGTGCTGCACAAATAACGCCGAATAACATGTCATGGATGCCTCTATTGGGGCCTTGTCTAATACATTGATTTCCTTTTTTGGGGGTGGGTACTCTTTATATCGTGAAATTGGGGTTGGGAAAAGCGCATTCACGAGTTTATCAAAGATGCCGTCTGCTGGAGTTATACAACCGTGTCACAAAATAGTGTTTCAAATTTTCTTACAACTGGATACAAACTGTTCCCTCTGTCTCAGACTGGCTTTATCCACCTTAAACCCCTCATCCTGCTTTGCCCCATCCCTCATGCATTTTCATCAGGATGCAAATAAGAAGGGGATAAAAGAGGCCCAGAATCCCTGCGCTAGCTGGAGGAAGAGTTGGAGAGCCTCTCTCTCTCTCTCTCTCTCTCTCTCTCTGGCTCCCTTTAACCTGCGCTGCTGTGCAGCCAGCTCAGCCAAAATAGAGCTCATAGAGAAAAGGCAAAAAGAAGATCGACGTAGTGCTGCTCAGGAGGAGAAAGAAGCACAAAGCTCCTGATGGAGAATGACAGAGTGTGTACTTTCAAATCCAGAGATCAGAGCCGATCCACGCAGCTCTGCCTCCACTAAAGCAGCGCTGGTGCGTTGAGTTTATCAGGTGTAGAACTTTTACCACTTTTACCACAAGTGAAATGAAACGAAAACCAAGTGAAATGAAAATAAAACCCTGGATGCGTTTTTTTCCCCCCAAACCAGCCTGGTTTTGCGCCGCGCTCCTCTAGTGCCCCCAAACTCCAGTGATGCTGCAGCCTTCACATGTGACTGCAGGTTTTGTTTGTGCAGTGTGTGTGTGTGTGTGTGTGGGTGTTCTCACTCTTGCTCTTTTTATTCCTCTTTTCCTTTTCTCTCCTCCCAGCTTGGATCCGAGGCAGACGGAAGGAGCCCCCCTCCGCCAAGGTACGTCTCCCTTCAGCCTCCCCGCTGCGCTGATGGTTGGACTCTGGGGGGAGCTGGTTACCAGGGAGGGAAAGAAGCGAACGGAAAGGCTTTGATTTGTTTTTATCTCACCGTTTCAAACTGAATCCGGTAACTTTGGGGGACAGGTGTTAAAATAAACAGCAGCTGAAGTGCATTGATGGCGAGGCGGAGAGCGAAGGCAGCCTCTGAACAAAGGGGCTCACTGACACCATGTCCTAGTTTACTTCTTCTTCTTTTTTTTTTCTCAGCAAAAAGCCAGCATCTCTGCTTTTTGAGTGTTTTTACAGTCTCCAAGATGGGAACGTTATTGTGCCTCTCGCTGGGTTTATTGCTCTTTTAAATGCGAGAATGCTGGAAACGATTTGGCCCAGCGAAATGTGGGTCTATAGGAAATCCCTTGGAAGGCCGATACCCCGGCACTCCTTCTATCTTGTCTGTCCTCTCTCCCTGCCAGTGGCCCATGCCATCCCCTGCCCCTGTTGCCAGAACATTCTCTTCCAATTTTCTGCCTTGCGTCGGCCCAATAGCTTCCACCGACAGCTGGACGGTGTTGATGTGGCCAGGGCTTCACTCCCGGCACATTACCCTACCCCTTGTCACGCTCCCTCTCTTCCCGGTCCAAGCCGACATAAATTGATTGGATTAAATCCTGTCATTAACAGGCTGGAAAAGCAGCTCAGTATGTTTGCCTCCCTCCCCAAAGCGGGGCCTTTTTTGGCTGACGGCGCCCCCTCCCTCTCCCCTCCCTCTCCTTTCCAGTCCTTTAGTTCTGCCAGAACACAACAGCATTATGCCCAGTCCTGCTTTTTCCTTTTTGGCTCCTCGTGCCAGGGAGAGGCTCACATCACTGGACACTAGCTGTGGCTCGAGTGGGGAACTATTCCGCTGGTGAACTACAGCATGTTTGAGGGTTGGAATTCTTTCCGTGAGCTGGAAGGGCTGCTGCTGCTGCTTTTATCGCCAAAAGGAGGCCTCCTGTCACGTCGGTTTACCGATCCGTTCCAAGCACTGCGCTTTTAGATGGTTTGAGAGAACGCGCTGGTACTTTCTAGTAAACACTTCATACTCGACAGGCACATTTGTTCCTGGTACTTGAGACTTTTCTGGCTTGACTTGTGAGCCGTTGACTTTTTGTGCCCTTTCAGAGGCAGTTGATCAGGAAGGGGAAGTTATCACTGACTCAATGTCGCAGGACTGTTTGGAGTGACTTTACTCTCTCAAATCTTCAAGAAACAGCCACCATATATCTATTTCTGTAGATTCAACCTATATAGATACAGAAAGTATTCTGTGTTTTCTAGGGTTTAGATAGAAGCTATTTTCTTGCCTGTTAAGACAGTAGGCTGTAATAGTTGTATTAATTGTTTGCATCTGGGTGCAGTCAGATGTTGTAAACTACAGCTAGGTTAGTTGTGACAGTGGACTGCAGGAGGAGGACTTTCAGTCAGCGGCATCAAACCTGTAGCAAACACAACAGTGGGTAGGAAGTGAATGATTAATAATGCACATGCAAGTGTTTATCAGCAAAAAACTTGAATCGATGCATTTTAATCTGTTAATCAATGCCGTGCCGCGCCTCTGGATCCAGGTCACGTAAACTGATTCTATTACGAGGAATGATTGTTATGTAGCTGACGAAAATATTCCATGAATGTCAATGGCTTCCTGAACTTAATAAATAATTCTAGGCCACATCGTCCTTAATGGTTTTCCATCATCCGTTTGACAGGCGTGGCCATGAAAGAAAAAATAATCAAATTGTATTCTATGATGTATTAAATTTAATTTGGTTGCTACTGCAGGAACCTTGGATACGCGTGTACAGTAAGTATGTCCGCCTGTGTGTTTTTAATAGGAGCTGCTGAAGAACGAGTTGTACAGGAAGGACATCAAACTGAGGGCCAGGGAAATGGATGAGAAAGATCTGGCCCTGCAGGCTAAGGAGTACGAGGAAGGTCTGGTGGCGAGTTCCGCGAAGACTGTGGCGAAGGGCCACGCGTCCACCGCCAGCTTTGGCAAGCAGGAGATCAGCGAAGACCCCACCAGCACTGCAAACGTGTTCCAGCCTGGATCCTGGTTGCCCAAGAAATAGACCGAGACATCCACCGAGGCCGCTGTGACATGTGACACAATCCAATAGAAAAACACTGCGATAGCAAATACTTCCATTGTGAAACTGAAGTATACTAGAATTACCTAATTTGGTTGGTGCATTTCACAGTGGAAGTATTTATTACAAAGCGGTTTAATTGGCCTGTGTTACAAGATACACAATTCCATTCTTCTAGTCCTGCTCTGTATATATACACAATACGCACTGCTCATCTTGAAGCTGACTGTGGGCGACTACAACTGACATGGCCGTACTTGCAGTGGTCATGGGTTTCACAAACTACTGTATTGTTTAACGGATGTTGTACATTTTCCAATAAATGACTTGAATAGCTCTTTACTCCCTACCAGATACCTGTAATGACAGACCTCAAGAATTTGACTATGACCAAAGATGTCATGGGGGAAAGCACATGTTTAATCCTGTGGGTATGAAGTAGATACGATCCCCGTTAACTCAAAATGGAACCCTTACATCAGCCATCAGGACGAAGCCATGAAACCCGGCTTACATTAAATACTGTGCTAATGTTCCCTGCTTGTAAATCAAAAGATTGGAGAACATGGTTTCAGTATATTGATCCCCAGTAAGAAGTTATTTCACTTGAGACCACGTTAGCCACGGAGCTACTGGAGAAAGTTCAGCCGGGGTGAAAAATAACCTGAAATCGCCGGCAGCATAATCCTGTTTAGTGGAGATGAAAACATGGTCTCCCGACTCAATGATTGTCTAAATCGTCTGACTGAACACAGGGAGATGTTATGTTTTTAATAAAAACAAAGATTAACAAATTCAACACATATTTGCCAATGCATCTAAATCCTGGATTTCTCCTTTAGCTTTTAGTTAATAACGTTACCACTGGAAGCAATTTGCTTTTAAAGACAACTGGCTGGATTTATAATTCTTAAGAGATTTTTTTTTTAGAAAGACATTGGTTTCTTTTTGAACCACCAGTATATAAAAGCCCTTTGGAAATTCACTCTAGTTCAATACAACTAAACAGAAGGGGACAAATCCCTTTAAGCCATGGAATTAAAAAATGATTTATGAATTTTTTTCTTCTTTAAATCTACAGAGGAAGATTAGATTCTTATCAACCATGAAAACTTTATTAAAAAGCTGTATTTGGGATTTTTTTGAGAAACCGTCCAGTATGCTCATTACATCTTCAATTCAGCAGAATACGAAGGCTAAAATTGGAATGCAAGCGGTTGCAACAGCTGCACATTATTAACAGTGGATTTCTGCACAATAACATTATACAGATGACCACTGTGCTCTTGCTGACCAAAGTCCCACCGGGACGAGCCTCCTTCGGGCAGTACCGTCTGTCTCAGCACTGTTGGGCCGACGGGCCCAGACTCCTACCCTGGATGTGCGGCGTAGTGGCCCAGTGCTGATAGCAGGGCTGGGACAACGAAGGGCACCGTGTCTTTATTGGAATAAGGAGGACTGTGAGCATGGTGGTGGCTCCCATTTTATGCCCTCATTCTACCCACAGGCTTTAGTCTTTCTTGGTCCTCTTGGCCTTGGCTATATTTTCCTGACGCTTCTGCTTTTTCTTCTGCTCACGGTCCCGTGCCTCAATCATCTTGGCCAGTTTCCAGGACAGCAGTGCACTGGCGATGAAGAGAGGCGTGAGAGCCAGTATGACAGTGGTGAGGAAACCGTAGGGGTCTTTGGCAGCCCATTCCACGACGTACTCTGCCCACGCCCGAAAGTCAATCATCCTGGTCAGCAACAAGGAGGCTTGATCAAACCTGTGACTGAGCACCAGGAGAGAGGTGGTAAATAATTCCAGCAGTGATATGTAGAAAAAACATTTATAACAATTATTAAAAGGGTCATTGTTTATGGACTGCTAGTTATGCCGAAAGAGCATAATGACAAAGCTTCTCTATCACTGATCGGCAATCAATTTTATCATGGGAAATCTAGATGAGCATCACATCAGATGATATTCCACTAGAGTTCCTGTCTAGAGAACAACTAGATATTTGTTTAATGGCTCAGTTGATACTCATCTGAATGGGCTGCATGGTCAGTACAAAATAAGGTTAGTAACACCTGTTATGAAATAAGCGTGTTAATGTAACATATCAAGTGATTGTAGTCGCAATAAGATAGCAACTATCCCGGTTTGTTTAAAACATAGTTAGCTGACGCTAGCTGTAACGCTAGCTAGTGTTAATTCCCAATTAATAACTCATTACGATCAACATGCCTTTCCCTTTAAGACATGTTCTTCACGCCATGGGCGATCTTCACCAAAGTAACTGACCGGCTACGCTTTCATGACAAATCAATTCACCAGGATTGTATAAAGCGATGATTGTATGTTATTGCTACTTGTTGAGCGCTCCGACATACCAGTAACTAACGGTAAATAGCTAATGACTAGCTAGCATCACCACGAAGCTAGCATCAGTTAGCTACGCTACATTAACAAACAAACTAACGTTACTCTTCTGGCAACATTCTCGTGCAAACGGGCTAATGTGACTCATTCAAATGGACTAACGTTACCACTGGGATTGGACTTAAATGCATCAACGGATGAGGATAGGCTTACATTTTGTTACGTTACTAACGTCAGCCTAGCTAAGTTAGCTAACCCCCGCCCATCTATCATACGGCCTAACCGTGAGGAGCGAGAGCCCTGGCGCCCGGCTAATGGAGCCAACAATGCATACGAACGTGACGGAACAAACGGGTTTATATATTTCATATTCAAGCGGTGGTGGATAGAAAGTAAATACAAAAAGAAATTACCAGTGTGCAGAGAGGGTTTTGAATCCACGCGAATAAGTAACCGCTCCTGCCTGTTTCGGGAAGTGTAACCTTTGCTGACGTGTGGCGCACGTGATTGGATGTGACGCGTTTCTTAAGCGACGGGAAATGTAGTCCTTTAGGGTTTAGCCAACAGATTTCTAGATCATCGAAATACAACATAAAGAAATTAAGCAATATTTAATGCGGTGCTTGGCCTATACTTTTGCACACTATTTTATATAGATTGGGTACCTTTACAATGTTATAGAACATAGATGGTAAATAAATGTAAGCAGCATGATGGTTATAACACAGTTGTGTTGACAGGTATTTTATTTATTTTAATTTAAAATGCAAATAAGTGAAAATAAGTCTTGTGTGACTGTGGTGAATGAATGTGTTGGATTTTGATCCGTTTTAACAGCACTCTTGTGACCGTAAGGTTGCTGGTTGAAATCCCCGGATTCTCTCTTAATATGTAAGTACAGCCCCTTTGTCTTCCAGGGTTCCCTATATGTGTGTGTTTTTCCATAGTGAACGTTGTGCAAAACAATGACTGCTGGACCGTGATCATTGTGAAATGTTGGATATAGATTAACCATACACAACACAACGTGGTTGGCTGTGAGACTAGACATAGAATCAGATGACATTCAGGCTAGCTCTTGTAACTTCTGCTCATGTGTAAAACATCTCTGTCTGAAGAATAAAGCGAAGGAAAAAGAAATAGATCTGTCAAAGGTAGAAAAAACCTAAAGGCTCCATTGGCCCTCAGGGAAAGATGGCTAACATAACAAAAACGAACCTGCTGGCTTTGTGAACTTCCTGTGGGGAGTATTGAAACCAAATCAGGTTAGGCCACATCTGCTCGGTCCATACAGCATGGATCACTTTCAGAGCAGTTCAAAGGCCAGCCTTTTAGTCCTACTCACAGTGGAAGGAGAGGGGCAGCTGCGAACACATGCAGGGGACAACACATTGCAAACACACTTTCCTGGTTTGCCAGCATAGTTTGGGACAAGTTTTTATAGAAAAACCACAAACACATGCCCAATCTAGTGGTTTTTGGTTATAATCATTAGCTTCTGGGAGATGTCTCACTAGGCAGGGAGAAACCAGGGGGTGGGCAATGCAGCCGCACCCTAAACCCAATGACTATTTTTCTTCCTACAGAAGTGGGCCCTTTTCATGACGCAGCTATTCTAACAGCAGACAGGAAGTAGGACCATAAAATGACTGCCCCACAATAGTAAACCAGCTCCCAGTAGTGTGTGTGTGTGTGTCATAATGGTTACAACAAAATCCACATGTCTGGCCAGACAGAATTTTCCAACTTCCTTTGAATCTTCTTTTTTTCTTATTCTGTTGATAGACTCAACTACTGGAGTTAGTATAAAGCACATGACTTTTTAAAAATGATGACATCACCAGGCTTTTTTCTTTATATATAAAGATCAGTGGAGCGCTCCTTTAAACTTAAGATAGGGCCTAAATTATCAGTGTGTGTGTGATTCATTGTCCAGAGGACAAGCATGGTTAGCTCCATATCTTTATGGTCCTCCTCCCACGCCCTCTCGCTCTTTGACAGCTGAGAGTCCTTTGGACTTAAGCCTCAAAAACAACCATCACGTTGGGTTTTTTTTTTGAAGAAGAAGAAGCTACAGCCCGGGGTGGCAGCACAGGCTCCAGCGGGAGGAGAGGAAAAAAGTCCGCTTTCTTGCCCCCTTTTACCCCTGTGGGAAACTGCGAGACCGCCCCTGGATTAAGTCCCCGCCTTCAAGCTCAAACAAGAAGGGAACTTCAAAGGCCGTCGGCCGCCGGGGCCCCGCCCTCGCGCTCCCGAGTGGCTTCACAAAGGATTTGCCGACGTTCGGGAATTCCGCCTCCAGTTCCTTTTATAGCGCCACTCGTGCGCTGGCAGCGCTCCAGGGCCCCGCCCACCCCGCTCACTCCAACGGCACAAAGGGCTTCGCGGAACTCGCTAGGCGCCGCCCCCACTTTCCCAAATAAGGGCAACCGCGCCATGTACGGCAAACAATCGGTGCGAGATTGCCCTTTTCTCTTCCTTATCCCGTTTATATGATCGGAGAGGAGCTGCGCTTCAGGTTGGAAGCGGTGCGATCATGGCCGAGCGAGTCCAGCAGCCCCCAGCCAAGCGGCTCTGCTGCAGGCCCGGCTACAACCCGGCGTGCAGGCAGGGGCAGCGGGCTGGCGGAGTCCTGTGTGGCGGCGCGGGGTCCGCTCCGGGCGGGTCGGGGAACGGAAAAACGCACAACCCGGAGTCGTTGCTCGACATCGCGGCGCGCCGGGTCGCGGAGAAGTGGCCGTTCCAGAGGGTGGAGGAGCGGTTCGAGAGGATCCCGGAACCCGTACAGCGGAGGATCGTATACTGGTCTTTCCCGAGGAGCGAGAAGGAGATCTGTATGTACTCCTCTTTCAACGCCGGAGGAGAGGAGAGTGGAACTAGCGGGGACAATAATGACGAGACCCAGCTGCCTTTCTTGCGGGGTGTCACTCTGCTGGAGGGCGGCTGGGTGGACAACGTATTGCAAGTCGGTGAGTGGACTGTGTCGTTACTAAACGCAGGGGGAAAAACACACACACGCACACAGACACACACAACCGGCCATAAACTCGCGCTGGTCGCCTTTCCAGCAGTGGATCGCTGCCATACTTCTACGGGGGCTTGTGTTGGCCTCGCAGCCTTGTGCGTTATAAACAATGCAGGGTATTTCCACGCCAGCCTGTATGAGAATAGCCTATTTTCGGAGCAGCCCGTAATAGTAGCCCACTTCTCCCCGATTTCGCCCACCGAGCCGCGCGCATTGAATGGCCCACCGCCGTCCCGATGGGAAGCTTAGCACTTTGTTCCTATTTTTTTTTATGTCTTTCCAGCTTTCCGTGCCCCCACCGATGGGTACGCAGACAAAAGCCCCCCTATATCTTTTCACCGCTGGCTAAATAGAAGATATTTAGAAAAAAAAGGGTGGGAGGGACGGCGATTTAAAGCCACAGTGCTTCTATTTTGTTTGCCAAACACCTTTTTGTGCGACCCACTGGAGGCTTTTCGTGTTTTCTCACCAATATTCAGGCAAAGCCCAGGCTATATGCAGCTAAGATACATTTCCCCACCCCCCTGCCTGCTGCAATATTTCTTTTGGTAAAGCTCGGGGTAAACAGAGGGGCTGTAGGCTCAGCAACAACCCCCCCCTGCCTGCCTTCATCCCTGCCTGGCTGGCTCCCTTCGCCAGAGCCACAATATTTCACTGCAATCGTCAGTGCAATAGACTCAGCTGTCAATCCGTCTCCCCACCCTTGGAAACGGTTCAGGATTCTAATCCCATTACCCTCCCCAGTTCATCTGAATCTTAATGCATTCTGCAAACAAGATTTTATGCATGATCCTCTTCCTCCTCCCTCCCTCCCTCGTCCTATCTTCTCTCTCCCTGCTCCCTCCCTCACTTCTTGGCTTACTATCCCCCTCTGAAGAATCTGTGTGGAGATGGCTTCGGCTCTTGTGGGCTCAGAGAATGTGCAGTGCACAATAGTAGCCATGGAGCAGGAAGACAGAGAGACAGGCAGGCAGCTCTCCCTCCCTCTCTGGCCTGTTTACCAGATTCCCCAGCATTAGACTCATTTATGTGCTCACTCTCGTGGGGGCTTTAGGGTTGCTAAAGACTCTGCACAGGGTAGAAAAGTGAGGAGTTCCGCGGTGTGTGTGCGTCTGGTGATTTGGAGAATAGTGCGAAATAGTTTGCAAAGAGGTGAATGGGGTCATTTTCTTTGGCCGTGTATTTGTTTTTGTATGTGTGAAATGAAAGACAGATAGAGAGAGAGAGAGGAGGGGGCGGGGGGATTATGCATGGGGGTTTTGATAAACACAGAGGGGGATTGTGCATGCATCTGTGCGTGCATGTGTGTGTGTGTCTGCACGGGCTGTCAGTCTCATCCTGCATGCTCACAGAGAGAGGAGGATGACAGGCGAGCACACAGACAGCAGGAGGACGGCATGTTATGCTGATTGCAATTTTTGCCCCAGCATTTTTCCTTTTTTTGGGTGGCGGGGGGGGGGGGGGGTTTGAAGAAAAATAAAGCCAACGAAGACAAAAATGATAAATAAAAGATGTAATCTACTCCGGGGGACAGGCAGCCACTGGAGGATGAGGGCTTAAAAGCAGGGCAGCATGGGATGGAGGGGAGAGGGGGGGGGTTGAGGGGGAGACGGGAGGATGGGGGGGGCGCCATCATTCACATCACACACAACGTGTATTGGCCCATCAAACACATACAGTAGGGTCTGGCCTGGGAAAAAAAAGTGCAGGGCCGTTGTGAGGGGGGTGTTTGTGCGTTGGCTTTGTGTGGCTTCTTGTGTGTGTGTGTGTGTGTGTGTGTGTGTGTGTGTGTGTGTCTGTCTGCTGTCAGTGGGCTGGGATTCAGTGTTGATGATGAAAGACAGTAGAGCAATAGAATAGATGCAGAGGTTATTGTGTATGTGGGGGGGGGGGGGGGGGGGGAGCTAATATACTTGAATGGATCTGCTGTCGCCGTATTCCTTTCCTCCCCCTCTCATCTCTTCCACCTCCCTTTCTCCCAAGTGAGCAGCTATAAAACTCTCCATATTTACTCCCCTAAGGCCAACTACCAGCCCCCAGTCTCCTGTGATTATTTATCTTTTTCTCAAAGACATTAATCACACGCGTTTCCCTCCCCCCCCCCCTATCTCTTCCCATATATCAGTGCTGCACATGGAACGGATGGGGGTGGCGTGTAAGAGCAATAGATCGGCTGATATCATGAAAAAGAGGGGAAGCCTAGAGGGAAAAAGTGGGTGGAAAATGCTAAAGCGGAAAGAGGCATTGAAATGGTGATTGCAAGAGAAGGGGATGTCTGAAAGTAAAGAATGAAGCGCAGAGAATGGGAGAGAGTGAGATGGATGGCTTGTTCTGCCTCCCATGCGAGCTCATCTGTTCCGATGCCAGCCGTTGCGATAAATATTCATATACCAAAGCAAGTGTTATCCAGCGGTCCACTGCTCCTCCTGTTATAGCAGTGTTATAGCAAACCAGCCCCCTTGCACTCGTTCTACTGTCGAATCCGTGGTGAATTTAGCGGACCACATACCTGACCTCAACCTGCATGAAAAGCCCAAGTGAGCTTGTGTGTGTGTGTGTGTGTGTGTGTGTGTAACAATACATTCACAACTGCAGATGGATAAGATGAAGTAAGCATGTACAGTTAAAACGTCCTGATCAAAAACAAAATCTAAGCTTTCCTTTAAGCTGGTCTATCATGGCCATAACCGAGCATCATTTACCCGCGGAGAAAAGTTCCTGAGCTGCCTGCTCTGATCACAGCATCTGTTCTCCGGCCCCCTTGTGCAATTTAAACTGGGCAGCTCATCACGCTGAAAGGAAAGCTAGTATTACGGTGCCCCATCCTCTAATTATAGAACCGTAATCCTATGGCTCTAACATGGCATGACAAAGCATGTTTGCACTTCATTACCCTCCTTCCTGTTTCAGTCCTTCAGTCTGGGTCAAGTTCATCCCCTCTTCTCTCATTCATGTTCGACATGTCCTATGCCGCCCCCCCCCCCACCGTCCCCATATTTTTAACTCCCACCCCCCATCTATCTGTCTTCAGGGCTTTGTGCCAGGAGGTAAATAAACCATAACCCCCACCACCACCTCAGTCTCACTATCCTCTTACCGTAAGCCCTGTGTCCCTATGGGGTGACATACTGGCATATGTCGCTCTCTGCAATGTCATTAGCGTGAGCTACATGCTACAGCCTATTTATCCTGCTCCCCTTGTTAGGCTAATTATTCACATGAAGCTACATGTCATTTTATCCCGCCACCGGCCCAAATCTGAGCGATTCCTCTGGAATGAAAGCAGATATGCATACCCTGTGGTCTATTTTGGTGTATTTTCCATGGCGAAGTTGTTGGTCTCGATAGCCTATATTATTTTGCCCTACCGCTGCTTAAAATATCACTGAATGTCCGCGGCTGTCACGCCCGTTTGAGTGTGAATGTCATCCTCCTCTCTGCTCCACCTATTTCGGAGAGGACTATATGTGTCCGTCGTGGGCTCCTGCATAAGTCAGGTTAATTTCTTCACCATCGGGAGGATCTTAATTAGGGTTCTGCGTCATCTACTCTCACCCTCTTTTTACCATGATGTCAATGAAACGGTGAGATAACAACCAGGGATGGAGGTTCCCAGCTCTTGTTTTTTTAACCCGTTCCTTTTTGTTTTAGTAACACAGATTTTAAATATGCTAAGCAAGGCTCTCCTCAACCGTTTTAGCTGTTTGAGGAGCCATGTGGTTTTTCCTGCGGGCTTTGATGAACGCGTGGCTTCGCATTGGGGCAGAACAGTGGCAATATCGGACATAATTCACAACAACACAACACACAGGCAGAGACAACACCCTGGAAAACAAAGGGGCTCATAAAACGTTAAAGAATATTTGCACACCCTCGTAGGTTATTGTTCGGGCGACAAAAGCGCTGAGCCAAATGCCACGGAGAAATCTGCCCCCCCTTATAAAGGTGGTGTGACACCGAGCATGTTTGTGCAAGAACGCGCATGCATTTCTTTCACGGTGGACAATTTTTTTTTCTTCTTTTTTGAAGAATTCACAAGGCTTTACAAACTGCTTCTGGAGGATCAACATTTCAGGCATTTCGTCCAGGAAGGTGCAGAATTTAAGATGCCAAACGTAAATCTTGCACGAGCATGTTGCCTGCGAGACGCTATCAGGCCGGGCCGCATTTTTGGGTGGGTGTTGTTTTTGTTTGTGTGTGTGTGTGTGTGATCCGTTTTTTTATGTGGGTGGTACCAATTTCTATTTCCCTGTTCCCTGTTTCCCTGTTTGGTGGAATCCTTTTATCTTTTTCGAAATGCCCGTTGAGATTAAGCACACGTGCCCGTCACCAGAGACGGAGAGAGGCGGAACACGTGTGCCGTACCGTCTGCAACCAATAGCGTTGCAAAGAGGCAGGACTGGGACAGCAGGACACAAGGCTTTTGTTAATCATTCTCGAAAGTAAACGTTTGATGTTACTCTGAACGATACGCTGAGGAGCAGTTCTTTTTAAGGAACCTGGCTCGGCCCCGCCTTTTTAAAGTCAGTTGGTCAGGTGCCGTTTGTGGACCTTTTAGCTCTGAGGTGAGAGCGTGGAAGGAGCAGTGATCCTGGCCTCAGGTTTACCCCCCAGCCATGTGACTATCCCTGGGCTCGTGTCGTCATGGAAACATGGCTGAGCCGAGAGCTAGTGTAAACAAATGGCCGTTCCAAGAGGGAGGAGAGAGAGAGGGAGAGAGGGGCAGCAACCGCATCCATGTGAAGAGACATTGAGTCTTTGGGGAAAGTGCTCTCTCCTACTGACTGTGTGCCTCTGAGAAGCAGATCCCAGGCCTCTGTCCCATTATGCCGGCTGAATGGGGGGGGAAAGATAGGATACATTCTGCCTCTCGCTTGAAAGAAATACGCTGGCTTTATCAGTATGTTTCTTGGCGCGAGTGCGTGAACTGTGTTTACGTGATAA